CTATTTGTGTTGTGGTAGTACAATGTTCTAAGTGTTTGGACAGCCCAAACACTGCTGGTGGCATGGTAACTAGAGGAGCAAAACTTGGATGGCTTGGGATGTAGACAGCCCATGCTGGTATATTTGTAACAGCAGGTTACCACCCAGAAAATACCCCTGTGGTTAAAAATGCTCAAGGGAGTGGATGTGCAGGCATTTCTGGAGGTAACCTGAATCCTGGCAAGAACTCCTGAGAATCACTGAGAGCCTTTCCATTTATTTCAGTGGCTACTTTATGGAGCGTAAGAGTTCATTTTGTGGGTAAATGACTTTTCCATGAGGAAAGCAGCATCATCTAATCAGAACTCGAGATGTCCTGTGAGACCCTCCCAGTTCATGGTGGCAGCTCTGAGGCTGTTACCCAGATTCTAGCCTAGAATTCTATCAGGAATACTGTCACATCTGGGATAGCCTGTGCTCTGTGACAGTCAGACCACTGCTCCAGCAGATCCAGATAAGGCACAGAAGGATATAATAGCCAGGTCTGACTGTGGCTGTCCGGGTAAGTGGAGACAGAAGGAACTTTGGTGATGATGCAGCTGCTCCCCTGGAATATGACAGGGTTTGCTAAAGGGGAGCCAACAGTTCAATTGCTTTACTATTCTCCTGACAATCAGGAAACCTCACAATATGGGAAGCTTCATCCTTTCCTGTGTAATTTAATGGTAAACTTGAATAATGAAACCCAAACCCCAAGTCCTACATAATGTAATTATATTAATAAATGCAGTTCATCCATTCCACATAATATCTCCTGGTGATAGAGGAGATTTCTCCCCTCCTTTTGCCTTTGTTTTATTTATTGAGTTGAGCATCCCCTCACACTGCATCAGGAGGAGTAAATAACCTCAGTTATTTGTCTTTGTTGCAAAAAAAAAACAATTACAGCCTTTACAGTCCCTCTTATGGATTGTCCCCAGTGCACTTCCACTTTCCCTGTCTTTCTCTTTCCCCTCCTGCCTTTGTGTCTCTATTTTGACAAAGAATGACCAGAAGCACATGCAATGATCCAGACTGGGGATTGCTGCTGCTGAGGTGCCTAATAGGATTATAGGATTTTCAGCATTAATCCTTATCCTATTCTTTAGGCAGACTGACCTTTTACTTAGATTTTTGCCTCTTCTTGCACAATTATTTGACTCTTCAGTGATTTCTTTAAGCTGCTGTTTTGTCCTTTTTCAAGGTGATTGTAATTGGTGTAGACCTCCAGCACAGAACAGTGTAAGAACTGTCAGGCTGTTGTGGTTATTTGTTTAGTGCTTCAAGTGAGCTTTTCCCAACTCACTGATGGAGGTCACCACTTCCTTGCCTCTCTCTATACCCTGAGTGTGTGTGCTTGCTTTAGCCCAGACTACAGAACTATTCTGTAGCTTTAAATGTAGCAACTACTCTACGTCAAGCTGTGGGAGGTTTGATGATGAGGATATCTGCTTCTGAAGGTAAAAGGGCCAAGGCTTTCCTGAGTACACAGCCCATTCAAAGAAACTTTGAAAGATGGAAATGGATGGGGAGTGAGTTGACTGGTTTCCTAAGGAAATGGGACTTAAGTTGTCTGTTTTTTCCACTGTTGCAAAACTTTTGGATCTGCAAAGTGATTGTGGCCAAAATAGATGGGTCAGAGAGGTCTCAAATAAAAATTTCCTACATTATTCCTAATAATTAGCTGCTGCATAGGAGATTATTTTATAGCACTGTCTGCCAGGAGGTAAAAGCTGCAGTGCTGAGTCCATAGGTAGGTCATTAATTTGTCTGGCCAGCACCAGACAGACAGACAGACAATGCCTGTAACACAGAAGGAGTCACTGCACATCTGAGTCCCAGGTAGCTGGCAGCAGTGGGAGGGAGCTGAGGGGCAGTCCTGTGATTTTTGGGCTGTGGGAAGAAAGTTGAAGATGCTGTGATCTGGTTCAGAGAACATCAGAAGTTTTGCAGAAGAGGAAGAATAGAGAGATGAGGAGGACTGGGGAAATTATATGGTTGGAGTTGGGCTGGACTTGGGCTGCTGTCTCTCAAACTAGGAGGTGTCAGGAGGACTGCCAGGGAACAGCTTGTTTTGGAGGCAAGGGACTGATGTGCAATGGGGGAGCAAGGAGCACAGGAGCTCCAGGGTGTGGGAGAATACATGCAAGGAACAGCAGAGGAAGAGGGTGGTGGCACAGTCATTAAAGGAGAGAAGGGACTGAGGTAGGAGGTGATAAAAGAGCAAACCAACAGTGGTTAGGAACATAATTTTTCAGGCATGGAAAGCAAAGATAAGTTACTTCAGCTTGTTAGGCTGGGATTGGGGGTGACTGGGAAAGGGGGGAGAGGTTTAAACACTGGTGCATCTTGATGGGGTAGAGACCACACAAAGGAGGTGGAAAGGAGACTTGGACAAGGAAAGACTTTATGGCTTTCAAGGGACAGAGGAGGGACAAAGGATCAGCCTCAGGTTTGTGTATAGCGTGCAGAAGGAGTGATTTGGCAACAGTGTGAGCATGGAGATGGAGGAAGGCAGGAATCAACAATAACTTTGATTACACAGGAAGCTTGGATGAGGGGGAAGTGAGAATTATTGTCTTCAGCAGGGTACAGGAATTGAGGGAAGAGACGGAGGATTGATGTGTGTGTTTGGATTAAATAAATTGTGCTAAATTCTGATCCAAAGTCAAGTGAAGACAGTAACTTCAAGAGACTTTTTGGAATATTGCTATATGCAAATATTGTCTTAAAAACCCTGACTGCGCTTTACAGAAATGCCCAAACATCTTTTGTCTTCCATTTGAAGAGTGTGTCCAGAGCTCAAGTGACTCCAAGCCACTTAGTAAGCCACAGCAGTGACAAGACTGGCTTCCAACATTCCTTAAAGCAGTTTTCAGTCTGGTAAACCACAGCAGTAATAAATGCCCATATATGCACACAACACACTGCAAGGCAAATCAGTGAAACTCTCAATCTCCACTTTAGGGAGATCACATCACCTTATTAGCTGTTCCTTGCCCTGCACATGCAAAATTATTCCAATTTCCTTCCCTCACAGGATTTTTTTCCCAAGTATTTATTGTCTGCAACAAACTATTTTCTGGTATGCCTATAAACCATTTGCTTCTTCAGGATCCAGTGACTTTCTGTTACCAGCACAAACTGAGGAAATGAATATCAATCATTCAGTGATTATTTGCAGGAAATAAAAGTGTGAGATAGCAGCCAGCCTAGACCAAGAAGGAAGAACAGTGTTGCAGTGCTTTTTATAAGGAGAGCCAAAAATATTTTTCATGTGCTCAGCTGTTATTTTCTGAATATTGTAGCTTTCTTCCTTTTGTGAACTCTGCCTTCTTTGGATTAGGTCCTGTTACCACTGAACTCGGAGTATTTATTAGCCTCAGTGAGAACAGGATTAAGCCATCATATGTGTGTTCATCCTTGCCTTAACCCTTGTTGCTGTTTGGTGGAATACTGCAAAGGACAAAAACACTTTTGGTTTCCCAGAATCTTTCTGAGTGTTTGTGTCTGATCCTTGCAGATAGCACAAGCTCCTCTGAGTGAAATAGGTTTGGAGCTGACTGTTTCCAGCAAAGCTTTTTTGAAACCAGTGTGATGTCTCTGTAAAATGTTGAATCTCCTCACTCAGTAGCTGCTTTTCTGAAGTCTGCATTGTGCTTAAGGTTCTGCTAATCCATGCTACACTGAGCATGATGAATAGCAGGCAAATTGCCTTTGGTCACTGCTTTGGAAATCAAGATGTCTGCTGGCTCACCCCATTCTTTCATAAATACCTTCTTGAGCTCTGGGAAGTACGATGGTGCACTATATCCCAGAGTGTTAATTTTTAATGTCTTATGCACGTAATGGACTTGACTGTAATTACGAGTCCCAAGGCACACAGTCACTGCTGGCAGGGTGGAAAAAGATGACTGCAGATCTGTGTGGCTCCACAATTAGGGATTGAAACATTGATCATTTTCATTCCCAGGAGCAGAGGAAACGTATGAATTTAAAGCAAAAGCTTCAATGGAAAGATGGGTAGTTGCAAGCCAGTAAACATTACCCTGCAATCTATTAAATTTAGACTTTGCAGCATCATCCTTCTGCATTGAATAAAACTGAAACCTGGGCAGGGCAAAGTGGTTTTGACAAGCCTATGCTTGCGTCCAGAATAATCCAAGTGAATAAGTGTGTAGGCAGTGATGCAGAGAGAACCTAGTATAAAAAATACTGCACATTTTTTTCTCAGTGGTGCTATTTTTAACTTACAGATCCTTGTTTCTTTCTTACATGAAATCTTGAAGCTGACAGCATCCTTTTCAGACTTGAAAATGAAAGGATGCTGTCTGAAAGAACAGTAGAGCTGGGACTTTTAGGCCTGATCATGTTGGTGTATCTTGGTGGGCAGATTCCTCCTCCTCTCATGAGCCCAAATTGACTTTGCTGAACAGTGCAGGGTTCTTCCCTATACCAGGTTTAATGTAGGATAAGGCACCCAAACCTTTGCACCAGTAGAACTTGGATCCTGCTTTATCATCTGCCAGCTTTTTAGAGTACTGAACAGAGGAGGAAGGGATTTTAGACAAATAATTCTCTCTCTGAAAGCAATACTTCCATATTCCTGGTGTCACAGTAGATTGTTTCAAGATCAGATTTTTAATTTCCTCTTGAAAGTGTGGTGGTGGCCTTTTTTGTTTGGTTTGATTATTTTGTTTTGTGTGTTACTCATAAGGTACAGCTTTGGAAACCATTGCAAAAAAAACCACAACATCCTGAATCTCTTCTCTTCATTCAAGTGACTGGTAACAGATGCTCTGAATTCAGTGATGCAAAATCACTCCTGTACTGTACTGTATTTAGTGCACTCAAGCTTAAATCAAATCCCAACACTTTGCATCAGTGCAAAAACCACATTTAAAACACAGGGAGGAAAAAAAAGTCTTTCTCTCTGACAGGAAATCAATTTAATCCATTTATTGTTTGTTTGTTTTTTCCAGGCTTATATTTGGCACACTTTACCCCGCATATTATTCTTACAAAGCCGTGAAATCAAAGGACATCAAAGAATATGTGAGTAATGAGGTTTGTGGCTGTGCTGGGGGGTTGTTTTCTAAGACTGCTCCTCACCACATTGGAAAGGTGTTGCCTGTATTCTGTGAAAGCTTATAAAGCAGTGCAAGGGGCAGACTGGCCTGAAGGTGGGCTGGTTGATTGCTAGGCATAAATGAGGCTTGGGTTTGTGCTTCTGGCTCCAGTGCAGAGCTGATGTGCGCCTTGACAAATGTATGCTGTTCCTCTTGTGGTGAGATAAGCTGACTTAAAAGGTATTTGGCATCCAGAGCTTTGTGTGCTCTTCTTTGTTTCTGAAGAGCAGCATAAATCAAAGCCTTTTCAAAAAGCCTTGAAGCTTTAACTGTTCATTCAAAACAAGGATAAGAGGAGGCAACTCGAAGTTCATGTGGCTGAATCCTCAGACAGAAACATCCTTCCTTGCAGAGCGACCTATTTACAGGCAGGTCTGGCAGCTGGGTGTGCTCTCTTTTCTTTTTGCTGAAAAATCTTCCCTGGGCCCTGGTTACTAAAAGCATATGGGGCCATCAGGGAAAGTGAAATGAAGGAGAATCAAAAGCACTTGGATGCTGTTGGGGTCCTGTAGGATTTGTAGTGCCCTTCACAACTTGAGCTCTTTTAACTTCATTGAACCCAGCTCAGCCTCCAGATCTCCAGAAGACTGACTCTTCAATCTTCTCAGGATCCCGGGAATAACAAGCCCATTTTCTCATCTGGATAACAGCATAGGTGTCCATCCCATTAAATCTTTAGTGCAAACTCAATCTGGGACTCACTGTGGCTGCTAAGAGTTTTGTTTATAATTTTCCTCCTTCAGGAAATGGTTTTGGGCATTTTGAGAGCTGTAAGTGTTACAGAACACAGCAGATACTTAAGGCAAAATGTCTCTGCAGCCCTTACACAACTGTGCTTCTCAGGGCTGCTTTGCTTGAAAATGCTGAAGATGTCACAGGCATCTCCAAGCAGTCTCTGCCACTGATACTTAACATTTCCATAGTCCCTTTCTGGAAGGTATTTTGTTGAAGGGTCCAATTTCTGTTGGAAATTCAATTGTAAAACAGGAACTCACATCAAGTGAGGAACTCACATCAACTCACAAGACACTTGTGGTTGTGACGCAAATATGGGAACAACTGATCTCGTCTGCCCTTACAATTGATTTCACTTTAACATTGCAGTTGTGGCAATATATCCATTAAGGCTTGATTAAAAAGAAATAAAAATTAAGTAATAATTTAAAATTACATGGGAGGAACCTTCACTTATTAATCAAAACTTATATCACTCTAATGTAATTTTATTCTGCTTGGTAATAGTAATTTTGATGAATGTTTTAGGCTGATCCAAGCCCATCCACACCAGGTCTTGGTTTATGTTTAAAAGTTTTGCTGGCAGTAATGTCTAACTGAGAGAGCCATGTTGGCACTGAGGCTCTGAGGAGTCACAGTTACATAAAAAGTCTGGCAGAAGCTGCACTGGGAAGATGATGCTCTCAGGTGTTTGGCAGTGCCATTATTGCTGTAACGCTACATATAAATATGTACATAAATATACATCCCAGGAGAGCAGCTATATAGCAGAGTGACAGGTGCTCAGGGAATAATTCCAGTACCTACGGGGAAATAGAAACTATCAGTACTGCCCCCACTGTATCGGGGAGAAGATGGGGATATAATTTCCAAGCTGGTGAGATCCAGATTTATTGGTGCCTCCATCTTCCATTCCCCAGAGCAGCACCTGGTGTAGGTATCCCTCTTGTACTGTCTTCCCTCCAACCTTTCCTTAGTCTATTGCAATTGTACCAGCCTTAGCTAACATGGTCCAATTCTCTAATTCATTGATTTTCATGGGTTTTACTTCCTTAAGCTTTCTAACATTCCAGCAAAGTTGCTTAAGGACCTCCATTTTCAAATGCACCTAATTAAACAACAGTTGCCAGTTAAATTAGCAACTTTTGTCTCACCACCTTTTTCCATCCTAAGAAGAACCAATACTAGATACTTCAGAATAGTTGAGCTGTGCTTTTAGATGCCATTTAGTGCTCAGTGGAAAAAATCCCCAAATTCCTGAATTACTTGAAATACTACAGTTTATCTGACCAAGTCACCATCCCCAAAGGCTCTCTTGCTGGTTCCCAAAGGAAACCATCATCCATGACAGTGGAGTTTCTCTAGTTGAACAGAGACAGCACAGCACATGCTCTCACTACCAGTGTGAGGTAAAACAGTCCCCTCTAAGCCCCAGGGAAGGGATTTAAACTATTGCCCTTTCCCTTGTCACTGCATGGGGTGTGGGTGGGAGCAGTCACAACCACTCCAGGGCTGCCCAGTGAGTCAGTAAATTGTGGTGAGTTGATTGTGCTCCTGAACCCTGGGTGACAGGATAGGCAGTTACCTCTTTGCCTTTTCCTGGCTGTAGGTATTATGTAAGTAATTGCATCTTAACTGTTTGGCCAACAACTTTATTTTAACATTTGCTATTAACATGAGCCAAGTGAGATTTTTAAAGCCCTGTGATAGGGCTGTCATGTTCTACTGGCCAGTGGAGTTTCTGCAAGGACAGAGGCTGCTCTTCTTTTCCTAAGACCAGTCCTAAAGACCGCTGTCACCTTCCCAAGGACCGTGTTAATCTGACACATGTTAAGTGGGGCAAACTGGCACCTTCAAGTCTACAGTAATTGCTAAATACACAATGGAGAGGGTGAGGGGGTAAGAATTTATTTTCCCATGAGAGTTATTTTGTGCACTTGTGCCTGTAAGAGATAGTTTGAGACTGTTTTTGTTTACCAGGTCAAGTGGATGATGTACTGGATCATATTCGCGCTCTTCACGACAGCAGAGACATTCACGGATATCTTTCTTTGCTGGTAAGCACCAGAGGGGAGAGGCTCTTTGGCATGAGATGAAAAGAAAATAGAAATGTTTACAAGGGGGAAAAAAGGCACACAAATGTGCACTGAGTCCTGTGCACAGGTTCGGCAGCTTCAAGTGCATAGAGGGTTTTTGTCTGCAGGAGACATGCTTCCTTTCTCAGTGCTGTCACAGGAAAAACAAGAAAGTGGAAAGGCTCAGTGATATCTCATTAGTGGGAAATCATTACTGGAGTCTCAGGCCCTGCCTGTCAGGCACAGCTGACTGCCCAGTTGGATGCTTTCAGCAGTCATCACATAAATAACAGTTGATTTAGCTACAGGCAGAGTTTTAGACTTGCCTGGCTGTATCCTACAGTAAATACACAGACTGTGAATCAGGTACAAGCAGCCCTGCAGCACAAGACTATGTAGGTTGCTGTGTGGGTGGTTGTTCCTGGGATGTTTTGCCAGACATATTCCTGGTTAGGCTGGGTTTCTGGTTTTATGGAGAACAGTGACAGTCTGCACTGATGTGGCTCTCTGGTGCCAGTGGAAGGATTCCTGGTGACCTTTGCCAGAATGAGAGCACATGAATTCCCAATTATCAGATTCAGTTCCTTATGGATGCTCAGGTTTGGAAGTGTTTGCTGTTTGCTTGCCCTTTATAGTAAGGCCTTCCTACCAGAAACCAGTGAGATCAGTAGACTTTAGGATGAAAATATAGCTGTAGCACATGGCCCTTACATCCTGTTCCTGCACAGCACTGCATGCCTTGAGTGAGTCCTTCCGATGAAGGAAATCAGGAGAACTTGGCAGCATGTCAGATCTATTGAAAAGGAGATAAAACCATTATTGTCTGTCTAATTTGCATGCAGATCTACCTCTCCTGTGTTCATCTGGAGCTTTGTTATTTTTTATGTGGAGGATGAATTATGTGGGTCTATCAGGAGAATTGGCAGAGGGCTCATCCAGCCTGTGAAATCAAGTGCGCTGTAGAGATCCCCAGTGAGTGGGAGATCAGCCTGGCACATCCATCCTCAGAGTGTCAGACCTGGGTGCTGGCTGGCTCAGTGACAGCCCTGTGTGGCACAGCAGGAACCTGTGTGGGTCCACAGCCATCACAGGTCTGTGCACTGCTCGTGCTTGCAAAAGGTGACAATCAGTCGTTCATCACACTGCTGCCAGCAACATGCTGATGATGCTGGGTGGCCAGTCTTGAGCTCTGGGCTTTGTCCTCCAGAAAAGAGCCTGGATAATTTAATCCCAGGGTATCCCTGGCTGCTTGTTGCAGTTAAAATGTGTCCTGCTGGTTCATGTCCTCCATATTTTGCAGCCCTACCTGAAAGTCAGTGTGAATCTGCACCTTTATGTTACTTGGACAACAAAGGTTCTTGTATCTCAGCTTCAGTCGTGTAAATGTTAAGTTAAAAGCTGAGAGGCAAAGAGATGGAAAGTGCATAAATATATAAATATAAATGAAATACTGGTTTGCTGGTTTGGTCTTTGCTTTCTCACAATTACTGGGGATACTGTGAAGGCAACACCTGTGATCTTTGCATATAGAAAACTTCTCTTATCGCACATCAGAATCTCTTCCAGGCCATTAAATAATGGTCCTGATAACCAAGTAAAGATTCACCCACATGTGTCATTGAGATGTGTTCAAAACTGAGTCAATATGCTTTAATCTTTAGATATTTTTGGTAAGCAAAAGCTGCCTTGAGCTGAGCTGGGAAATCCCTAACTGTGCTGAGCATCTCTAATTAAGGCCAGAGGTTAAATTGGGAGCAGACAGTAACCCTCTTTTTCTTCTAGGTTTCCATTCTACTATGAACTCAAAATAGCTTTTGTAGCTTGGCTGCTGTCTCCATACACAAAAGGCTCCAGCCTTCTGTACAGGAAATTTGTCCATCCAACGCTGTCTTCAAAAGAAAAGGTAATCACAGGTGCCTGGATCCTCTCTGGGTGGAACAGAACTATGGTGTGTTTAGTCCAGTCCCTATATCATTCTTTTTTATGGAAGGATTTGGAGCTGCTGATTCTCTTCCTCTATCATTTGATCCCCTCCTTTGGGTTGGTGTTCTTGCTCTTTGTGCTTGTTGTGTTTTTAAATACTGGCATCTGTTCAGTGCACTCACAGTTATTAACTCATCTTTGTGCAGTTGAGGAGCTGGGAGGGAGTAGGATAAAAATACCTCCTGAGCTGCTTTGCATGTACTGGGCGATTATAACTGGAGTACTCTGTTGTGGCTGCATATAACAAATAGAGAAACTTGGTCTGGCAGCCAGGACTCCTCAACTTTGTTCCCAGCTCTGCCTAAAACATTGTACAGAAATGATACAAACAGCCCAGGCAGTCTAAAATGAGCTTAGCAGCTGTGAGCTGCCTGGCTGTGCAGTGTGGTGAAAAACGGCATGTAGCATGTTGAGGTCCTAGGTTTAAAAAATGTCTTGCTCAAATTAAAGATGCTAATTTTGGGAGGGGGATATTACAGCTTGGATCATTTGCCTGCCTGGAAGATTACTGTGGCTGTGAATGGGACACTATCAGGCAGATCAATTTGGATCCTGTGTATAAATGGACCAAGAACAGCTATTGTCACATACCAACATGAAAACTGCTGAGTAACTGTTTCCTGCACTAGCAACTTGGAAATGAAAGCTTTCTGTTTAGCCACAGGCAGTGAAAGAGCAGTTGGATCTCAGTCTTGTCCAAGAAGGACAGTGGGAATCAGTCCCCTGTCTCTGCTTCCCTTTTCTTGTGCTTTTCCCAAGCAGGGCTCATGCATTTTGAGTTGCCAGCTCTTACCTACAGGGAATAAGGAGAGCAGCCAGGAACTCCTCACAGCCTCCAGTCCCTACTAACCCAGCACATGCACCAGCTGAGTACTAGAAGTCATTGCTATCATTATCATCCAGACCCCAGTGTCCTGAGGGAGGGAGAGTAAGGGAAGGAACCTCCCTAACTGTTTCACTGTATATTGAGCAGCATCAAAGTCCAGAAGCTCTAGCCCTACCAGTTCCATGGGCATCTGAGGCTGGACATCTCCATGATGTGCAGAGATATCCCAGATATTTCTGAGGCCACCTGTCCTGGACACAGGGCAATGCAGCTTCAGCTGCCCAGTGTCATCATATGATTATTTTTAACTATGAGGTAATCACATTTGTCTTTGGAGTGCATAGTTTGCTAATGTCTATCAATCCATGTCGTTCAGGCAGATTTCTCTTGCTTCTAGGACCCCAACTTTGGGTCCCAATCTTCCATTTGTAGAATAAAGAGTTCCCAAACCCTGCAATGGGAGTTACTGCCCCCCAGCAAATTTTCCTCTTTGCAAATATTGGCTGTGAACTTTTTTCCAGCCACAGTGGAGGAAATAGGAGACATCCACCTCCATAAAGTATGACCTGACTCTGCCAAGAGTTTGAGGCTGGAAGCACAAGCCTGAACTTGTCCTTCTTGTGCTTTTTTAATTGTTTGTTTTGTTTTCTGCTTTGACAGGAGATCGATGACTGCCTCATCCAGGCGAAAGACCGGAGCTACGATGCCCTCGTGCACTTTGGGAAGCGGGGGCTGAACGTTGCAGCCACAGCAGCCGTCATGGCAGCTTCAAAGGTAAAGGTGCAGGTCAGGATGGTGACTCATTAACATCTTATCTGCATCCAGTGCCAGCAGCAGCCACAGTGTGGAGAGGGAGAGATGGTGCGGGTAGGGATTCTCTCGCTGTTTTGTATAGTGACCTATAATCTTGTGTAGTGACAGGAGAGAAGATGAAGTTCATGAAGGCTGAAAGTTCTTCTGCAAGGCATACACATACCATAACTTGTATATAACTCTCTGCTGAGATGTCATATAAGAGTGAATGGGAAGTGCTATTACACTTGCCTTTGGAGGATGAGTAGCTATTGGATGAGGGGGTCTCATCTGAAGGGGTGTATCCTGTACTCTTCCTGGCTTTGAGCCAAACCCAGAAAATAGCTGTTATCTGTTGTTCCTTTTCTTGCATAAAAGCTGCAAGGACATGATAACTGCATTTTGGGGTCCTGCCCTCTGTCCATGGGCTATCATGGCTTAGAGTCAATGTACACAGTGTGTTTTAGAGATGAGACTTGGCTACTGCAAATAGCAGTTGCAAAAGGATAGTTAGCAGCATATGGACAAGGAGGGTACTGGTAGTAGAAACAACATGAGAATGGGAGTTGAAGGAAGTTATTTTCCTCTGGCAAGTGCTTTTCCTATGACCTCAGGCACATTAGTATGTCTTGGCCTTACTTCCTGCAAAAATGCATAATGCATCCTTGGGAGGCCAAATACCATAAAGTCTATAAAGCCTGTTGAATGCAAGGTATTACAGAAGGGAGGAGCCCAAATCTTGTGCCATGCTCATGGGATCTCAAGGATATGCTAAACCCCAAAATTGTCTCCCTTTTCCCTGCCTAGCATTGTGAGACTATGTTGTCAGGCCTGTCTTCTCCTGAACATTTCTTCTTCATCAGGGAGACTTTTCTAATACAGGGACTGTGAAATAAACAAAATCTGGACTGAAACCTGGGATAAATGTGCAGCTAGGGCAGTGCTGTGTATCGTATGCCCAATGAAATGATATTTTTGTGATGCCTCCAGGACACTTAACACTTTTGCTGCTGCCATGTAAGCCTGAAGAAGTCCCACTGGGGACATAAATAGGCTCTAGGAATGCCAGTTTTGCAGCACTGCCTTTGCTCTGATCCCCTTCCTACAAGGTACTGCAGACTGTCTGTGCTAGAGCTGTTTTTAGGACACAGTGAGAAACTATGTGTGAATCCCAAAGGGATTCTGGCTCCTGTCTAGGTAGCTCCTGAATATGAGAAGCTCAACAGTAACCCAAACCCACAGTGACAACCTGTTCCTCCATCAGGACTGCAACAGTGTCTGCATCAGCTGTTCAACTGGAATGAACAGTCAGCACCACAGTTTTCCTTCCCACTGTTCCATGTTTCTGGGGTTTTTCTTAAGAATCTCTCTGCCTTGAAATGTGGCTCTAGTGGCAATGGAGAAAAGAAGAAGAGTCTCCACAGTACAAGGAAGCTGTTGTTTTTCACAGTTGATGAGACTCTCCATTCAGTGGTGGAAGAAAACAACTCTGTGACTCCTGTGGTATTACTGTACTGCACATTTGCCAACACAACTTGAGAGAAAACTGTTAAGATATTGCAACCTGTAAATGGGCCTGAAGAGTCCTTCCTGCACACTACTTTGGGGAGGGGAAAATGATTTGTTAATAAGATTGAGAGGTTGTTATTGAAAAGATTGATTGATTTTTACAACAAAGCAAGGACTGTTCAAATGTTTCCTTCAGCCTTGACATTTAAATTACTCTGAATGTATGAGGAAAAAATAGGACCCCTGACTTCCTTCACTACTTTGGCTTGTGGCCTCCAGTAAGTTGCTTGTTTCTGTGTGCCTCAGGGTGCAGATCCAACAGAGAGTGTGAGCCAATCTGACAGCTTTCCTCCAAAGTGGGGTAGTGCTGCAGCTCCCAGTGTGCACCAGCATTTTGGACCTCCTCAGGTTATCTCTAATCTATCAGAAATAATTCTGAAAGAAAAATAAAGGGATATGTTCTTTTGACCCTACAAACATATCTCAAGTGCCTGAGCTGCATAAGGAAAGGGATTGAACTGCATTGTGAGGAGCATGGCCAGAGGAAAGGAAAGCAAGATCATCCCTTCCTGGTCTTGGGAAGCAGACAGATTAGCTGTGCTGTTCATGGAACTACACCCCAATCCGATCCCAGTGTGAAATCCAGGAATGGTTAAAGCAGCTTCTGTCCCTTGCCCTTCTGAGATGGAATGTGCTGCTGCTCTGGCAGGGAGAGCTGCCCGGGGTGAATTACAGCCTGGTGTGCTGTGGTGCAGAAGTGCTGAGCTGGGGTTCCTCAGGTACTCAGGATGTGACTGGGAGGGTGTGGAGGTGTCTCCACGTAGCTGTCCCTGCTGCTGTGGAGGGAGTTGTTTCCCAGAGAGGAGTGATACCACAGGCAGGGGTGGGAACTGTTTCTGTTGCCCTGGTTTTCAGCTGCTGTCAACTACATGTCAACGCCCTTACTTGCTCACTTGAGAAGGTATGACTGAGCCAGATTATCCTGCATGAGAGAGGTTTAAATGACTAATTATCTGGAAAACACTTTGAGCAGACAGATGCCAGACCAGACTGCAGTGCTGTCCCTAGGGAGAAGTTTCTAGGGAAGGAGGAAAGAGAATACTATTTCTAAGGCTTATCATGGCTTTCCCAATGCCAAGATTTAAGGGAATCCAGCTAGTCTGTGATAAGTGTTGAGTGTAGATGGGAAAGTGAGCGGTTCATTTGGTTTCAGCCTTTAAAGGACTGTGTTAAAATTGGAATCTATAGAGATGATGATTTACTCAGAAGCACTGAGCTCCTGCAGCTTCCATGGAAAACATGAGTTTTACCAGCAAGTGAATGTGAGAATTATTTACTGCTTCACTTGGATTACTGGGTGAGGAAAAGATGCTTTTGTATGCAGAAATGAACCCTCAGACTTTGCAAATCAACTTCATTGTAGTGGCAATACACAGTGGGCTGCTGGGCTGAAAAGGGACTCTGTACAGACCTGTTTTCAGTAAATTAGCTGAAAACTAAAGGTTCCTATACCTGGAGAACATGTCTCATGCTGTGCTTAGCCCTGTCCTCTCCTTTCTGTCTGAGCTGTGATCCATCATGGTCTTTTGTCTTTCATGGTAAAATCTTTGGGCAAGGCCTATATTTTAATTCTTTTCATCCATTATATATTTAATCCATTATTTTGTTCATAATATTTTTTAATCCATCATGTTTATCCATCATCTTTTTATTCATGCATCATAATACGTCTGGCTCACTGATTACCATTTGTGTGTGATAGGCTGCTGCTTATATATTTACTGAAGGCTAAGATGCTGCAAACTGTGCAAAGCCACACCTTCCTTATCTCTGATCCCCTGTCCCTTTCCCTTTTCTATTTTAAATATCCTATGGTTTCAGTTAGCCAATTGCACACTTGTCCTTCCCCCTCCTCCTGCTCCCTGCCCCTGCTCTGTTTTGTTTTGAAGCCACAGTTGTGCTAATGCTGGCACAAACCTGTGCCAGTTCATTTTACAGGCTGAGGAGCTGTCAGTGTCCCAAGCACTGCTCAGCTGGCTCACTTGGGTGTTCTCTCTCTCTCTCCAGAGAGTCTATTTTTGATGCTCACTAGGCAAACAGAATGTTGCATATCTATCTGGTTTATTACCTCTACTGGGTGCTCAAGACACATCTTTTCTCTGCCCTCAACAGCTCACATCCCCACCAAGGAGCATAATCTCATTTGAGGCTCTAATCCTGCCCTCATCACTTGGTGATTCTGTCACATGTGATGACTTCAAGTGGGTCAGTCCTAAGTGGTAAGATTAAATGACCAGGCAGTAAATCCTGCTGCTCTTTGTGTGTTTTCAATTAGTTACAACTAATTCAGCCATTTCCATTCTTGAAGAGTCCTGGGCACTGACCACCACCATCTTTCCAGCTCACCTTGATGGAGAGAAAAGTGGAAAAGGAGCTTTTGGGTCACAGCAGAAGGGAGCAGCAGCAGCAGGGCAGTTACAGCCCCAGTCATGGCCTTGGCCAGGCAGTGCATCCAGCAGATGGATCCTGGGCATAAGTGGGCTTTGCATTGCCACCAGTCAGGTTTCAGTGTAAGCAGCTGGGACACACATGGCTGCAGCAAGGAGAGGCTCCAGAGGCTTGGAAGCAGCGCAAGCCTTCTCCAGCACACCTGTATGTACTTCCTTGCTTTTCCCCACACTCCCAGCAGTTATCCTCCACCTCTCACCCTGAGCCTCCTATCACCTGCTGCTTTGCCATGTCCCCAGTCCCCAACTCTTCTACCCCTGCTTGCTTTCCCAGAAGCCTGCCCAGACCTGCCATTGCCTCCTGTTTTTCTACAACCCACACATCACCAGTTTTACACTCTCCCCCAGCTCTTTCTCTCTCTCTTTCAAGCTCCTGGGTTTCCCAGATCCTGGTTGGATGTAACCTTATCCCCACCCTGAACAAACCAATTCTGCCAAACAGACCCACATCTTTCCCCACCTGAAGACAAATCCTACTCCCAACCACTTAACCATCCCCAAGTTGCAGCCTCAACTCTTCTTTTCAGAGGAGATTTGGAGAAAATATCCCACTGCCAGCAGATCTGTGTACTCCAGAGGTTTCTGATAATGCACCTTCCCCTACCTTTCTCCTGCCCTTCTGCAGGTAAGGTGTCAGAGCAGCGGGTGCTGTGGCCCATTGTGTGCCTGCTTTTATGCAGGGGAGTGGGGCACAGCATGGTGCTGGCAGTGGGCACAGAGCCTTGGCAGGGGAATTTAAATGAGGTGGAGGGAGCAGGCACACATGACTGGTGTCAGTGGAAAGCCCATTTGTGCCTAATAAGTCTGAGAAACAGTCCAGGAGCCTTTCATGGGTGGGGAAATGTGGCTCACGGTGCTGCCGGAGCCAGCAGTCACTGCGTGCATCGTTAAAAGGAGCAGGCATGCAGACAGGCAGGAGGGTTTCAGGATGTGCATCCACCTGCTTAACTAATGCTCAGGAGTTCTTAACTGCAGCCTCAGCAGTTCTCAAACCACCTGTCTGGGCTGGCATTTCTATTCTATTCATTTCTATTTCCACCTTTGGGCTCACCTTCCCCTGGAGGGTTATAGCTTCATTACCTTAGGGTGCCTTAGCCCAAGAAATTTATCAGGAAGCTTTTCGGTACATTTCCTGTTTTTTAAACCAGGACACTGGGAGGGAAATACCGGTGATGATTTGGGCTTTATCCTCTTTTAATTCATTTCTAGTATCCAGCTGGTATAGCCAGTGCAATTGCCCAAAAATCAATATTTAGAGCCCTAATTTACCATGCATTTTTGACCTATTTACTGTGGAAACTGGGAGAAAAATACTTGTGTGTGAGAGATATGCTGCCTTTTGTGACATAGCAGTGGAGAACTGTACTGCTACTTGAATTGGGAGAGGGAGGCAGGGGTGGGGAGCATCCTTTCCCTTAAGATGCTTGATAAAGCCTCTTTGTAATGATTAGATCCCAGTGCTCAGAGGGAGAGTGCTCCTTTGCTGAGCAAACATATGGGAGCACAGTTCTGACCAATCTGCTTAGCACCATATCTGCGATGGCCACATCATGTGCCCTCATCAGCAGCATGGCCTAGAGCTGCAGAGGTCAGGAGGGATTTAGAGTTCACAATTTGAGAAGCCCTTGGGAACACTTCACTGCTATCTCAGCGGGGCTGAGCTTGTTGCTTTTGAAAGTAGCTTCTTTTAAAAGATCCCCATTTGGGATCCAAAATCAAAGATCTTGGAGCTATTTTATGCCAATAAAGAGGAACAACAAATGGCTTTCTTAAAACATATGGTATCATGCCACTGATTACAGTACTTTATATTCTTGTCACATGTGACACATCTTTTATTCAGAAGTCTTTATGAATCTGTTTTTCACAAATCTATAGAATCCCAATGCTGTTTGAGTTACAATCCAGGTAACTTTTTCCAGTTTTTCTTTCATGTTGGCTGTTTGGTTGGTGTCTCCAACAAGCAAACAACACTCACTGAATGCACAGGGCAGCAGAACCAAAAAATAAATTTATACAGAGGGACTAGTGTGGGAGAAACAATAACAAAGAGTTCCCTGGAGAGGAAATTAACTGCACAAACAAAAAAGGGTGGATGAAATTACATTTCCACCATCAACATTAACGTCAGCTGGTTTCCCTTTGAGTCTTTATTACTGTCTGACATTTCCAAACAGGTAGCTCTTCCGGACTAGGCATGGCACGCAGGCCCTGGCCATAAATAAGGATATTGTTTGTAGGATATTTGTGTTTAATATGGTGGCAGAAGCCATTTTTTCCTTCACTCATGCCTGTGCTTAGACCATAAAGCTGATGGTTTTGCTCAGGGCCTGCCTGCAGCCAGACATGAGAAAGCTTCTGTGTGCAAACTCCTGCTCGCTGCTGGGAGCAATTCCCCACTGTCACCCTACTGCTCAGGAGAACTGTCCATCACCAGGACTGAAATGACTGCCACGTGTCCCTCACATAGTCCTGGGCCTAAATTACTCATTAGGCCTGACACTGGGGATTTCTCCAGCGGGAATCATCAATCAAGTGCAAGGAGTGGAGCCCGTTGTGTTTATAATTTGCTTTAAAAACACGTGTTAGGTGACACCTTGTCAGCTGGGGTTATGGAATGGTTTCTCCATCTCTCTGGGGAAGCTGAGGAAGGGAGAACCTATGTTCTGAGGTCTAGTCCACAGGTGGGTGTCCCTGCTTTTTATGTGTATGTGAGTCCCTGCACATGGTGCCCACTGTCATGCTCGTGTCTCACCTCAATTACTTATGCTTCAAATAGATCTTATTCTCAAAGCTTTTATGTGTGTTGCCACAATGGCTCTCTTTTTTCCCTTTGCTAGGTCTCTCAGCTACTTCATTTACACTTGTATTTGGACCAGAAAAAAGGGCAGGTAATCTGCTGAGTGCTTTTACTAACCCCTAACTAATGTCTGCTCCCTGTTAGACTAGTTGTTAGATTAGCTGTTAGACTAGTTGTTTGGACTGTTTTCAGCTGACATTGGTCTGAGGCCAAATGCTGTCTGCTCTGCTTCCAGTGGGTAGATCCTGCGTGCTGAGCTTTAAAAGCCTGTCCTTGATCTCATTAGCAAATTGCCTTCCAAGTCCTCTGCTGGCAGTCGAAGAGACTCCAGCTCCAGGCAGGGAGCTTTGTACATGGAACACTCATTTAACTGGGCTGATTGCTGCTTCATTGGCCAAGCTGCTGTGTTTGCTGCTGTGCTCTCACTAATGGATGCAGGGAGCCTCTCTCCCTCTGCTGTGATCCCTGTGAGGATGGTTGGGGTTGCAGTGGAGCTTTTGAAGGATCTCTGACAGGTGTGGTTGGAGCAGTCCTGCTGACACCGTAGCCACAACTGACATCCTGGGAATGTGCACTACACCCTGTAGGGGACACTGGCAGGATGGAGGCTGCAACATGCATGCAGTCATCTGCGGAGGAGAACTACTAACCACAGTTACAGCAAAAAGAGAGGAGAACATTAACAGATTGACTATTGTGCTGGCAGTGTGCTGAGTGTGACTTAGTGTTCCCTTGCTTGTCTATTAACTGCTAATCCTAAGAGGCAGAAGGCCAGGAGGTGCCATCCTGCATTAACACTGATTGTATTAAAAGTTTCTCTTTTGTGACGTGGCAGTTTTGGGTTCCTGATTTTTCATGCTGTGTCATGGTTTACACAGCTGCAAAATGGAATTTTTTGATATTAGAGGTGTTTTGAAGCCTAAATAATGTTTACAGATTTCTTTAATATTTTCAGACTAAAGGAATGATGAAATCTATAACTGTTATTTGTTTATATTTAGATCATATTCAATGGCACTGTTACATAAATTTCAGGTTTTTAAATTATGTGCTTAATTTTATTTACTTTAGTTTTTGCTACCTACGTACATAAAGTATTTATAATAAATAATTCTATTGAATGTAAACCCAGTTTTTCCCAGACTCCTGAAAAGTTTTAGCTCAAATGGGACTGCAGAGGCTGATTATAAAGTGGTAAAAGATATTAAGACAGTTCCAGCTCTTTCTGATTAAGTGCCTTTTACAGTGTTTGTCACAATGCAGATGTCAGTTTTTTGAAAGTTCTTCTGATCCTTCTAGACAAATACTGGTTGCATCAGTGTTTGTGCTCTGGACCCCAGAGAGGTTGATGTTTGTTTCTGGAGATGATGATGGTGATGTCTGCAACATGAAGGCAGTGTACAGGTTGCTGGCTCCGGAAGTTCAGTGTTTTAATACTGTTTTGTCATACTCTTTAAGGCAAAAAGGACAGAATGTGCTAGGTGTGGGTGTGGAAGGAGTGTCTGTAATACAGCTGTCATTTTGACCAAATCAGGCAGATATACTTAAATTAGTTTTAGATTAATTACTATGCCACGTGGATGTGAGCTTTAACTTAGAATCACAAATGAGCTTCTGCAGCTTGTCTTGATGGCCAATGCCCTCATACCATTGGTGCAGTCATTAATCTAAATAAGGTTGACACCAATTGATAGCAGTGACTGGGAAGTGATATTACCATGTCTGTTTTAGTATTTGTCTTTTATCCTATTCAGTAGCACTGAGCCCTGGCTCTTCCCTCTAAAAAGAGAACTTGTGAGGTTGGTAGATCCTCGGGGAAGAAGAAGCAAAGGAAGCCTGAAGAGCTCCACTTTCAGTTTGTGCTGTACCTTTACCTACAAGATCAGATGAATGTGGGGACAGATGCACCATAGTGATCAGGGAACAGAGAGACATCTGTCCTACCTGTAAAATCAGAAGTGCCATGCCCACAGGTATGGTCCATGTCTTAAGAGAAGCTGAATGAGAAATTTAGTCCAGGCAGGGTGTCTTGTGCCCAGGGAAATTAAGGCTCAGTTTTCCAGCACCATTTTATGCTTGTGTCCTCTAAAGTCCCAAAAACACAAGTCCCACACTGCCAGCACAATCCTCCTGACAATTGTTGGTGTTCAGTGAGGAGGAGAGAGAGGTGGTGTCATCCTTAGTTCCACAGCCCTCCCAGCCACAATTTTCAGAAGGCTGTGTAATAACATCGAGCTGTTTCTCTGTTGGCACAGTGACATGGTGCTACTACAGCTACTGTCATGATGTTACTGCTGTCACACTCTCCAGGACAAAACTAACCCAGATCTGTGTGGATGTGCTGCAAACATGCCTCTGGCCTGCAGCTTCAGGACATGGATCCTCTCTCTGTGTTGAAATTCCTGGGATATCTCTCATGTCTATAGCAGTTGGAAGAGCATCTGCACAATCATGGCCACAACACTAAACAAAAATCCCCCAAACAGCTGGTCTTCATCTTCCACATGATTGTTTTAGCAAAACACAGCCCAAAACATGTGCTTTGCTAAATCTGTTCTGTTGAGAAATAAAGCTAATAACTTGTTATTTTCTTTTGCTAATAAATGATAAGTCTTTTTGTGGAATAATAAGCATTACACCTGGATAAAGTCTTTATTTCTAAAACACAGCTCTGCAAACCCCCACCATGCTGGCTTTTCAAATGTTTGTGATTTCATATACACCAGCTGCTTATGTAGCAGGGAAATAAAGGTTGGCAAACAATATTTTCCATTTTACTCTGACACCATCCCCATTCTGTGGTAATTTCTGTCACATTTCTATTTGGGGTCAAGTAAAAATGTGGTAACTGGGAAAGAACTATGAGTGTTACACTGTATTCTAGGAGCAAGTAAATAAAGTCTATCCCTGGAAAGGCCAAAGGTGCAGAAACTGGAAAGAAAGGAAATGGAACTCTGCCGGTTTTCACAGGTGTTCAGTGCCTTCATTTAGCCCAGGCCTTTGTTGTTCTTGCCATTTCTGATATTTGGGAAAAATTGTTTCATAGAATGGTAGGAACAGTAGCAGTAATATTTTGCTATTACTTGTCTTATAAACAATCTTTATTTTTGCTGTTAGAAACTCAAGTTAAATTAAAGCAAAAATTCAGAAAAGGAAATTTTAGTTATTTTTTCCCAGAGAAAGTAAAGTTATTTAGCTCAGCTGTTTCAGTCTGTGCTCAAGGCTCTATGTTATATGTTGATGTAATAGACCCGCAGATGACAGGCACATAGCAGGTCCCTGTTTCAAAGCTCTCTCTGGAGCCTTTGATCATTCTATGCTGCTGTATCACAAAAATATTAACACAACTTCTTCATTTTCAATGTGCTGGTGTCATCTTCCCTGCCAGGTTGGTCTGACACATTAATCTTGTCTCTAACCTGACTCATGTCCACATACATAAATTGCTGGCTGGAATGAAATGGAATTTGGGTTAGCTGGCTGAGCAGAGCAGCTGGGGGGAGGTTAAAAGCCTGAGCCCTGCTGACACTTGAGCTGGGTGTGAGGGAGGGATACAGCACTCAAGTTACAGTTCATCACTTGCTAACCCTCTGGCTTTGCTGACCCAGACATTCTGCAATAGCAAAATATTATTTAATGGCCAGCTTGCTCTCACTGGAGATCTGTCTGTTGTAATCAGGCTGCAGGGTGGGATATCTTCTGTTGGCTTTGAATCAGGCACTGAGAATAGGGTGTCTATGCAGGAATACAGTGGAAGTTCCAAAACCCATCAAGAACTGCACTGAGCTCTGGGCAGCTGAGATCTCAGCCAGCTGACCAGCCATGCAAGGCAACTACACTTACCAGCCCCGTAACATTTGCAGAGTAAATGTAGCTTACACTGGCCCAAGAAGATTAACTGGAGATGCCTCTTGGAGTGAGAACATACCCCAAGAGTGGCTCAGCCACTGGCAGGAATAGCCAAAATTCGGGCATCAACTTTTATGCCAGGCTGGAGAACACAAGGGCAAAGGTGAGAGTTTAGCAGAACGTAAGACTAAGGAACTCCGCTGCCATGCATATAAAATCAGCAACATAATATGTCTTGGTGTATAAGCAAAGGAGCCACATCAATTTAAAATATTCTACTTTTGGAAGTAGAATAGGTTAGTGGGAAAGAACAAAGTAACTCTGCTGCTTCTCTGTAATGTTCTGGAGGAAAGCTAAATGTGGAGTTAGAAAGAATTTTGTACTCATTTTTCTTTTACAAAAAGCTTCAGGCTGAAAAGTTGGGAGATTATGGATCTGTCACCTTCCTTGAACGTAAAAAGTGCAGACTGTCACAGTGACTGTAGGTATAAGCACCTGATGCCCTCACCTCTTACACACCCTAAAAGTAAGATACTGAGGAATTTGTATGAGGTAGAGGCACTGCTTTTCCTTTACTGTGTGTGCAGGATTTCTGAAGTGGTGTTGATAAATCATGAAGTAAATTATTGCTTTGCCTTCCCAAGGGGTCAGTGCCACTGCATAACAGCTTTAGCAAGGAATGTGTCCAGTCTTACCTTCAAGTGTAGCTGTTCAGGGTGAGTCCTTTCTCTCTGCCAGGCCAGCACCAGAGTGAATTCTCCACTGGCCTTGACCTGCACCTTGGATCAGGATACTCAAAGCTGCAGCCCAGAAGGGAGCAGTGACATGTTCTGGTCCAGCCCCAGCCTAAGTCCTCTGGCAGCAGTCAGGCTGTGCTGCCTGGACAAATACAAGTCTAGATGAAAGTGGTGGGTGAATTGCTACAGGTTTCCTTATCTTTTTATTAAACAGGACAATATTTACTGTCTGTTATTTGCCTTTCTGATTTCATCTGAGTCAAAGCATCCACTGAGTTTTTCCTAATTTACAGTTGCAGAAAGAATGTTACAATCAGGCTCTATGTGTTTACTTCAGTGTTTTTTTCAAGATTATATGCTATGAAGTATCTTTCAGATCCTCCCCCCTCAATAAAATGTTAAAACATAAATGTAATTTTTATCAGTTATACAATTTATATTCTGAATGTCATTTAATGGAGCTTAAAGTCTGAATGTCATTTAATGTAGCTCAAAAAATCCATGATTCTGTATGGATTGAATTTTCTCGTGTTCCTACTTTACGGCTATGAGGGTTACAGAATACTTACAGTCAACCTTTTGATGAGATGCAGTTTTAAATAGAAAGTGTCATTTTATCAACCCACTCTTTACAGTTACATCCCTTTGAACAAGGAATATCTTTGTTGTAAGATTGAGAATTAGTGAAAAAAGAAAGAAAAATATTGAATTCGTTAATTTCTTCCTTAAGTTGCATGAAAAAAAAGAGATTGTTATATTTCTTGGAATTTAATAATATCTTTTTATTGTTTTAAAATTTCACATTTTCTGTGCTGTGGTAATGTTGTGTATTGCTGAAAATGGCTGGGTGAATATCATAATAGATGATTAGCTTTAAAAGGGAGTTATTTTGATGCGAGCCATTTAATTGTGATTCTGAAGCCAAGCATCTGTTTGACTCATTCCTAGTGAAGAAAAGTACCCTACTAGAAAGATACAACAACATCCTGCTCCTTTACATGTGGCCAAGGGTGCTCTGTACTCAGATCACTGCAATGAAGAATCAGTGATGTTTGCCATGGAACCACTCCAAAAGGAAGAGCCAAGAGAGGGAATGATGCTTTTAGCAACACATTTTTGTCGTCTCTAAGTTACTGGACCACACAACTTTCTTCTCTTCCTATTGTCCTGATGGATGTCAAGGAGCAAGAGAGAGAAAAAGGTCTCAAAATATTGGATCTAACTTTGTGTTCTTTATTTGCTTGTTTAACTAGGGACAGGGAGCCCTGTCTGAGAGACTACGGAGCTTTAGCATGCAGGATCTCTCGACGATTCGTGGAGACAGCAGCAGCACTGTTCCTCCTTCGGTCACTGTACGAACAAGTAGCAAACAGAGCCACCCAAAACCATCCAGAAGTGCATCAGAAGGCACTGGCAGCTCAGGTAAGTGCCAGTGTTATTTTCAGTGTTGTGTTGTCTGGAATATCACACTGTTCAATGAAGTCATGCCCTTGGCAGGAACAGAGAGAAACAGACACTGCAGGCAGCACATACCAGGGTTCACAGGACACAGACTTGCTGTTGACTCTCTTGGCAGTTAGGAGAAAAAAACCAGCATCATCATTTGATGATTACTATTCCTGGCTGGTACAAAGGATGGGACTTGAGCATGCAGAGAAGCCAGACTCTGTCTTTGAAACCTGAGCTGGAGAGTTGGGCTGGGGGCTGCAAGCCATGCTGAAAAACACGTGTCTCCTAAGGACAATGTTTGTTCTCTAACTCTGAAAGAACAAAGACAAGAAATATGCTGTAAGTAAGATCCATTCCTTAGGATTCAGTTAAAAAAATTATTTCAAGTTTAGTTAAAGAAATATTTTTGAGTCCAAATCCAAAACATTTAATTGGAGATAGCTTTGCAGACTAGATCTCAAAAATTGAGACATGGAGGGTTATCCCAAGCAGGTGGCACCAGATGGCTCCTGGGATTCCCACACACCACCAAAGATCACTTGACTCCAGTGCTGTGATGAGAAGCCACGGAAAGTTGCAGGCGTATTGCACTTGGTAGCTTGTGAAACATATGCTGGCAAGTCAGAAATTCAGCAGTTTCAACTTGTGTGTTGAGGTCTATGCAAACACTTGCAGTGTTTCAAGCCTGGGTAGTTGCTACCCCTTCTAATTTGCTTTAGTTATGGAATGGTATTAGAAATGTCTTGTTCATCCTTCCTAATGAGTATCCTTCAAACCTTTTAGAAATTCTGTGAATCAGACTTTTTTTTTTTAATATTGTCTGTTGAATACATTTTCTTTATGGGTAAACTGAAATGTTGGTGCACAGTGGTTTTATTCACCTCTTTATATAAGGTCTTGTGTACACTTCTCTTGAAGTAATCAATCTGGAAATAAGGTGTTCACACACAGAATATAAAAGTCTTTAAAAAAAATCACATATTTAGACCAAAATAGTTAATGCTACAAAGAAACCATAATTTAGTTATCTTAATTCCACGTTGAGTAGAGCAGCCTTTGTAGTCTTGCTTTTGAGACAGTTAAGTCAGCTCACTTGGCCACAAACCCCTTCTCAAGACACAAGAGTTTTTTATTTTGGTCTGGTTTTGTATCCATAGTGTACAAGGATCTCTCAGATTGAATTTCTGAAAAAATGTTCATAAACTTTCTGAACTCAGCCTAAGTAAAAAAAAATATTGCCTATCAAAAATTTTTGGATTCAGGTAATTAGATTTTTTTTTTTTTTTTTAAATGTAAACTGCACAAATTTGCAAAATCTTCCATGACATCTATCTGTCCCATCTCACTTGGTGATTTCATTGAGGTGCCTAATTCTCCACCTGCAGAGAATACAGACTCCTCTTGCAGCTGGTGGGAAACTCCAGCCATGAGCTTTGCCTTAAAGTGAAGGATACAGTTCTGGTCTCTCCAGTCCTTGTGCTGTTTCATGTGGGCACCATTTTTGTATGTGGTCAGAATGTCTGGAGGGGAGAACTGATCAGTCAGCTGTCATGTGTGTGTGTGTAAGACTGTGATGTGTCAACCAAACTGTGTCACATTGTGAGTGCCATGTTCTGCTGATGTGACACTGCTCCAGGCACACCAAGCCCAGACATAGTTCCATTATTCCACCTTTCATATTTGTTCAGTTGGAGAGCTGGACATAAGCAAGGGACAGACAGAATTTGCCTCTGCCCATTAGTGTTCTATATGCACATGTAATATATGCAAATGTAAGAATGTGCATGAGCAGTCACTACAGAAGAGCAGACACACAGCTCTTTCTCCTGTCTCAAAACCCTCAGATGGCATAAATGTCCCTGTCAGATGTCCCCACTGCCTCACAGAAACATTGAATTCCTCTTTTTGTTACCTGCTTTAGAGACTGTGGGACATAGTCAATGTGGCATCAGATGGAGTCAGCAAAAATGACCCAGACTATGTGTTTGGCATGAAGGTGTTGACTTTTTCAACAGGCAACTTTTCTTAAGAATTACAGAATCTGCTTCTGTTTTCCTGATGCTCTATCACCTTACCTCAACGACCTGTTACCCAAAGTAGACTTCAAGCAGATATTTTTGTTTAGATTTTTTTTTCTTTTTAGAGGTATTTTCCTCTCTTTTTTCCTTCTATCCTAGTCCCACTGCAAATCCACAAATTGTGTTAGCAACATTAAAAAAAGAACCAACACAAAAAGAAACATTGTACCCTTTCCTTCTGTGAGTGCTTTATTCCCAATGTTCTAAGAAAAACCTTAAAATAGGAGGCTAATGATTCCCTCCAAAACCCTAAAGTTTTATATAATTCAAAGAAGGCTTACGTAGATTGTCCTTGACTGCTGCCAGCTAGAATTGTGTCTGCTCCTTGATCTCTTTGTGACCGCATTAATTAAGGGAATTAGCTGAGGGCTGGACTTAAAGGTTATGTTCACAGTGAAGAACACAGAGCCATGCTCTTACCTGGTGTGTTTTCTTTGACTGACAAGACAGCAGAGCTCAGTTTCTGAGTGGTAATAGCCTCACTATTATAGAATTTTAGATTGAGCACTCAGGAAAGAAAAGCAGACCAAAACCACCATCCCTTCTTGATGAGAGCTCTGAAACTCATGTAGTTAGAATTAAGGTACAGCTGGAACAATGATGGCTGAACATAAAAATGCATGTTAACTAAACTAGCCAATAAAAGCAAAATCCCTGTCATGAAAGATGCTGGGAGCTGACCCCACTTGGGTCTGCTGTAAATACCAGCTAGAAGTGGTGGCTTTGCACTGTGGTGGTCCCTTCCTCAGGCACTGATCTTTGCTCTTTTATGCTGAATAGAGTTTCTCTGGGGTTTATATTATTGTTGTTACTATTTTCATTATCATGATGTTATCGGGGGAACTTCAGTTGCAGCTGATGCCTAGCATACCTGGAAGTGTCCAAAGCCAGGTTGGATGAGGCTTGGAGAAACCTGGTCTAGTGGAAGGTGTCCCTGCCCATGGCAGTGGGGATGGAACAAGATGAGCTTTGAGGTCCCTTCCAACCCACACCATGCTGTGATTCTGTTTGCCCATAATCTGTTTTGATGACAAGGTGATGTAACAGCCCAGCTCTGGCTACTCAAACTGTCCAGTAGTAGAGAATGGTGAAGTCAGAGAAAGAAATCTTGATTTCGAGGCAGATTAAAAATACTTTCTTGTACTATTTTTGAGGGATTATTTTTAGTTTGAGTCAATGTGCCAACCTGCCTTACTGGAAGCCTCTAAGATCTCTGTTTTGGGAGACTTTCAGTGAGATATGAGATCAAGAGGCCAGGAACTGGAAGTTCCTCAAGTCAGCTTTGGTGCAGAACAAGTGGTGTACGGAAGCATACTCTGACTTAGAGCAGTGAGGCAAAGAGAAGAGAGGGCTCTTTAGGTTGAGCTTAGAGTTGTTTATATGGGTCCCATTCCCTGAGCAATGGAAACACAAGACAGACCTGGTGTGGAACTTGGTGTTGCTGGTCCTGTTGTGTGACCATGTTTAAGAGCAGATGTGATATCTGAAAAAAAGTGATTTGGAAAGATAGGGGGATAGAGAGAGGTCTGTTGTCTTGCCTGCACAAGGAAGGGAGAGCTAAAATTCAGTTTTGTTGATATTAAACCTCCCAGTCCCTCTGTGAGCACCAGCAGTGGTTCAGGTTCTGGTTTCACAACTCTTGGGCAAGTTTCCAAGCCCACTGAAGCATGTGAAAAAGCTCTCCTGACACCAGTGGGCTGTGGCCAAAATTTGGCTGCAGAACCAGGCTACAGAAACACTCAGTCTGTTTTGTTTCCACTTTTGTTATTTTTGTAATGTGAATGGTGCTGCTTAGATGTATTTGTGATTCTTTGAATCCCCTCTTGACACAAAGTACTGTGTGAAGAGCTTGGCATTTTGTAACGACCTCATGCAGATACAGGGAAGGATTTTTTTGCCTGCTGAAGAGTGTCTTATGAGGCCAAGAAATAGAACAAGCAAGAGCTGCTTTTGAGGCATGGAGAATTGCTCCTATTCCTCTACCCTTTGCTATTTTTTTCTCCCTTCTACCTTTTGCTGTCTTTGCTGCCTTTCAGTGGTGCCTGTCCATTGTGCAGCTCTGCTGTGAGGATGGTCCCTCACAGGGGTGAGACAGCTCAGCACACAGTGGGCTCCAGGTGTGTTCACACACATCCCACAGAAAGACCCTTCTCCTCCTCACACCCAGCCAAAAGCCACACCCAGATGACATGAAGAGGCAGAGGCTGCTTTTGCCATGGTTTGTGGGTAGCTGCTGATCCCACAGGTAGCACATCCCATGAGGCAGCAGCTCCAGGGAAACGTGCATACCTTTCTTTGATGGGCACCAAGGACACACAGTGATCCCCTTTCCTCCACACAGCAGGCCCACCACCTCTTCGTCTGATTTTTCACTTCATTCTTGGTTCAGCATTTTTCAGTTCATTGTCCTGGCACCCAGATGATGGCCTGTGACATTTTACTTCAATGCCTGTTCCAACCTGCCCTTTTTTCCACAGGCAGAACTGACCCTTTCCTTCAGGAACTGTAAATGTCATGTGGCTATGCATTGTTATGGAAAACTAAATTCCAGAACAGTATTTCCAAATATTTTTCTAGGGAATCTGTTGTTCTGGCGAATGTCCAGTAACAATCCACATCAAGACTTGTCTTTATTAACAGGAGCTTTTGCACTTCTTAACCTTATCACATTGCCTTAATTTGTGTTACATCACAGGACAGTCAGTGTACAGAGCTGATGCTGCCTGGGGCAGAGGATCACAAATAATGGAGCCACCCTCTGTATTGCCCAAGCCCAGTGTTCTTTCTGCTTAAGCTTGTCCCACAATAAGATCATTCTTATCTGGAATGGTTTCAAAGCAGAAATGGACAGTGTGCTTTCTGATACTCTCCATTCCTCTGAGCAGGAGAGAATCAAAGCTGTTTTTTTGGTCTTGTGCTGAAGTACCAAAGGCTTTGCAGTACAGGACAAAGGCGAAGGAGCATCAGTAGTCAGGATGTGTTTGGGTATTCAGTCCCCATCAATGAGAAAGATCTGTGAGAACAACACAGATATATGTTGTCTGAACTCCCAGAGAATAAACTGTTATAAAACAGTGATCAGCTTCCTTCTGTGTAAAATCAGAGGCTGAGCTCACAGCAGATCTCTTAAGGAAGCCCACAGTTTCACAGCAGCATCCTGCCAATGTTGGACTCCCACTAAAAAGGTGTCCAATACCACTAAAACTAACTAAAAGGGTGTAACCCCACTCCTTGCCTCTGGCAAATCTGTCTTTTCCTTTGGATACATTTAAATCTTATTTTTACACGCTGACCCCAGTCAAGGAATCGCTTCAAGTTAAATGCTATCCCTTGCTTCCAGGTTGCTCTTGACCTGGGTCAGATTCTCAAGCCAGTGGAGAGCAGCAGCACAGACATCAATGGGACAAGGAAGGTGGAGGCCAGAATACAAGGGACAGACAGTATCTCCTTTCAGTAGTGCCGCTTTAAAATAACTTTGGAACTATGGAAGAACTTCCTGTGTCTCCAGTGCAGGATAACCATAACTAAAAAAAATCACACAGAGCTCAAACCTTTTGCTTCTTCAAAAACTTTCTTTAATGTGGAGTCGTTGATGCCACTGTGAGTGTTAAATTGAAAGGCCCAAACTGGAAATTTAGGCTGTTTCCTGGAACACAAACTGTGCTCAAGATGAAGCTGTAAACTTTACATGTTCATGAACAGTTTTGAATCACCTGCTTTCACTGAAGGGTCCAATGCAATTTCCTCGGTTGCTTTCATTCTTATGGCAATTCCATCAGGATATTAATTCCTGTAGGACCCTCATGGTTTAGGAAGATCTGGCATGTATGGATAGTTTTCCTTAGAAGCTGTGTGAGTGGTTGCAGCAGCCAGACTTCTACAAGAATTCTAAACCTACTGAAAAAACCCAGGCACATAGCCTTACAAATCCCAGTATTACACCCTGCATTTGTTGCTGCGTTGTGCATCCATGCTGCCATTGCTTATCCACTCTTCCAGGTTCCTTCAGTCAGGAGTGACTTTTGTTCAGTGGTCTGAGAACAGTGCCAAGGAGCTGGACCTAATCCCTTCCTTAACACCCATATGGACACAGCCAGGGAAGAGGCACATTCCTGAGTCTGTGCTCCATGCTGGTCAGTGGAGACACTCATCTCCCTGTGCACATGAGGGCCTTGAAGTCCACTGCAAAATGGTGCCAAGTGTTTTCTAAGAGTGAGTGGCTTCACCTGATGAGTTCCTAATGCTCAGCTCCTCTTTCAGTGTGCACGTGTTGCTCAGTATGCCGACTCCTCAGAGGTGAGTGCTGGATTTCCTGTGTCCTGGTATCCATGCATCCCTTTTGGGCATGGCTGCGTTTTCCAAGCCTGGCTTGCTCCTGACGCTCTTGCTCACAGGGTTTCCTAACACCAGGGGAACAAAGCAGGGGCAGGCCAGGCTGTGAGCGGGTTTGGGAGCTGCGTGTGTGCTGATGGCAAGGACTTCAGTGCTTCTTGCCATACTGACCTGTGTTACCCAAGGATGGGGATTGTTTCTCTGGAGAAGAACTTCATTCCTTTCTCTTCTAGAGGATGTGCCATGTCCTTGCTGTGCAGTCTAATTCCTCTGCCCCGTGTCCCCCAGTGCTGGTGTAAAACCTCTGGGAATGCAGCAAGAGCAATGAACTCAGTCCCAGCCCTGTTTTGCTGTGTTCCCTAAGGATTGGCACATGTCTCTCCATTGGTGGAGAGGACGTTTGTTTTTGTGGTGAGCAGGGTACATAGCAAATCCTAGCAGCAGCCCCTGGTATGACAAAATAGGCTTGGGCTGACTCTTTCTGATTCAATCTCTGGTAGAAGCATTTTTGAAAAATGTCCCCACTGTCCCCAGCATTTTCTGTGCTTACAGACATCAGAGTGCAGTGAATGGTTTAGCTGCCGGTGGTCTTTTCAGTGCTGTGCCAGTTAGCTGGGTTGCTAAGAGCCCAGACATGTCACTTCTGCATTTTTTCTCAGTGACAGATGAAAGGAGTGGGAGAACTCCAATTTGGGCATGCCAGAGGATGGGACTGCCAAGCAGCTTGTCTGGGGAGAAAAAAGAAATACAGGCTGGCAGTGTCTCATGTTGGTGGAAGAAAAAGACCTTTGTAACTCCTTTTCTTCTCATCTCATGTGCTTTTTGTTTATTTTGCACAGTCACCAACCTGGAGGCAGCAGCAGAAGGACTGAAGGATCACAGTGCTGCCACCGTGCTGCAGCCACCTGTGCCTTCCCACAGCCCTGCCCCTGGTGCCAGAGCCCTGTGCAGTGTTGGTGCTTGGAGGCTGATGGTTCCAGCCTGACACAGCCTCCTTGCACCCTGCATGGGTGGCAAACCCACCCATATTTGATTTGTTACGCTTCCTTTTCTGGTTGGATGTGCCATTGTGCAGGGCAATGAAACATGTTTAAGGTGGTATCTGTTGAAACAACCATGAAACGCTTGTATTCACGAGGCATTTTATTAGAATCCTTCTAATTTTAGCCTAAACCTATTTTATGGATCTCACTTCAAAGTGTTATTTATAAAAAGAATCACTGAATCCTTATAGGCTTAACAGTCATGAGGTAATCTTAGGAAAGTCATTTAATGATGCTAAGGCAGCAAACAGTTCAATATGTTTATGAATTGGACCCAATGTAATTTTGATCTTGTTGAATTTGTGTACCCTGCCATTCACATTGGCTTGTTTTACTGTTCCTGCCCCCCTCTCCAATATAATCCAGTCCCTTAGACCATGTCAATAGGGATGTGCCAAGGCTCTATGTCATAGAGGGTTCATTCTGTCTCCACAGTCTGCCCTTTCTCTGTCTCCAAGGCAATAGATGCATTAATGCACCCTCAGACAGTGGCCTGCCATTAAAATGCTCCTTTGTAAGTGCATCTTTGGTAGCCTGGAGAGCTGACTACGTCATGTGAACATTTTTCAGTGCCACAAAAAGCTGGGGGAAGAAAGAATTTAATTTTGTTTAGCTAGGAATAAGTTGCCTTGAGCTATTGGCACTCATCTTTTCTTGGTGCAAACTTCTGTGTAGTCAGTTTTAGAGTCCCATCATTAACAGTTCTCATTTCCAAAGAGTTTATAATCTAAATGGGCAGATAGTCAAGTCTTTTCCTCAAGCAGGGATATTACTATTCACTGCTATAGAGCCTTGGTGCAGTCTTTTTGGCATGAACAGTTGCCTTAATGCTCTTGCAGGTAAAACTCAATTATCTCACTGTCTGACTCACAGAAACCTCCACAACTCTTAGGAGAGCACGGCTGGTGGAGCAAAAGTGCAAGCATTCTGCTCCCTAGATGATATCTGGAGAGAAGGTGTCCTGAGGATGAGGCCTGCAGGTGCCATGGGGTGTGCATTTCTGCAGAGCCCAAAGGCCAGGCTGAGCACAGCCTGAGCCCCCTGAGCTGGACTGTCCCTGGCAGCAGTGGTTCTGGGCTGGCTGCTGCTGGGTTCCTCTCCTCTGGAGCAGGACTATCCCTGGCAGCAGTGGTGGGTTTCTCTGTGCTGAAGCTGTTGGCTCCACAGGAGAGCCCTTTCCTGCCCAGCTGGATCACTCCCACTGGCCTCATGGTCTGCACATGACAAAGCATTGATGCAATTCAGGACATTCATCCTCTGCTCTGGGCAGCTTCACTAAAATACAATCCTGTTTGACAGATGTACTCCAGCACATCTTTTTGAGAGCTCCTATGCCAGCTCCTCTTGCTTTTGTTTGGGGCCAGGCCTTTGCTGGTGAAAGCTCCTTCCAGGTGCTCACCAGAGTTTCTGATTTATCTCCTTTGTGTTCTGTGGAAAGTCAGGCTGCAGCATTCAGGAACAATGGGACAATTATGTAAGAGCTCTTTTTCCCTTTCAGAGAGGACAGAGTGAAAATCTCCAGGGATATCTGTTTGTCTTTTGGCAGTGCTTGGCAAATGCTTAAACGCTGTTTGATATTAAACAATCTTGCTTGGGACCGGCATTTAAGAAGTAACAAAATTATGTTTGGTGGTGTTCTCTCAACTAATGTCTCTTAGGTGCTGTTGCAAAGACCTGGGGCATGGTTGAGAGGGAGAAACCATTTTAATCCTTGCAGAGAATAAATTTATCTATCATGAATTGAAGAATCAGCTATGTATGAGGAGAATTTTTGGGACGGCAAGTACTTGAGGGGGCATTTAATACTAAAATGCTGATCAGAAGCCTTAGGCAGTGTAAGGAATGTGCAGGGACATTAGTGATGAATGGGTCTGTGTTGGGTGTGCACTGCAGGGTTGTGCTCCACAAGGTGACAGATCACACACATCCAGAAGTGCAGCTGACCAAGGATCTCCATGGGACATCCACTTAATTGTGCTTTAAACAAATCACATTATTGCTCTATTGGATGAATCCAACCCCTTCTTTGTGGTATGCTAAGAAGCACACATGAGTTATTACAGTGGAAAGTGCTTTAAAAACAGTAATTGACTTTGTGTCAAGGGGCCTGATTGTACATCTCTGAACGAATTCAATTAAATGGTGTAGGTGGTTTTATTTTGGTTCTTAGCCAGTTTTGCTTCCAGCTCCCATTTGGGGGATATTTTTTGACCTTGTTGAACTTAAAGAACAAACAACAGTTTTCTGTTGCTCTAGGCATTTTCTTCCTTAAAATTTCCCTTTTCTAAATACTGAAGCAAATTTTTACAGGGCTGGTTTGCACCACTTTGCACTGGTGTTTCTGAATAGAAATTTGTGATTTTATTTTTGAGATTTAAAAATAGTTTCTTATTTATTTTGGTTATTTCAGGGAAGAAATTTCACAGGAAATCAATAGTTTTAAAGTACACTTGCTTTTTACCAGCAGAAAGTTAAAACATTAATTGTTCTTTAATAAACTCCATCTGAACGACAGATATGATAAAAGCAAAGATGAATATTTCTGTGTTCTGAAACAATGTTCCTTCCCCCTCTGCACCCAAATGTTTTCTCCTAACAGTTTATTCTTTCTTTTTCTCTATGTAAATATTATGGGACTCTGATGTAAGTGTTACAGATTGCATGAATTTTCCTCTGAGGTGTTTGGAATAGACTAGCACTTAACAAGTCACTCATTTGTGGGATGTGTTTTCATTAACGGATGACTTTGTTGATGTGATTAGGCTTGTTTGCTTTGGTTGCATTTGACTCCAGCTTTGGTAAGGATGTCTGCCTCTGGTGGCTCCTGGGCAGTGTGTGCTGGTATAGTTGGCTGCTCCTAACTCCTTGGTTTGGCAATGAGAACTGCTGGGGAAGTACAGGACTTGGGTCAATGTCTTTTGGAAATGATGGTGAATTTATCTTTGTTGCAGGGGAAAGAAGCTGATGGCCATCGTATAATAAATATCTGTTCTCCTGTGCTTATTAAGTGGTGTGCAAACCTCTTTATATGAATGATCCCCTGGAAAGGCTTAACTTTGGAGAGACTTCACCTTCCATTACAATAATACAATACCTCACTCTTGGTTTGTGTACTGTGTGACTCTGGTTTTCCCCATTGCTCCTGAGGAATTAAAGTGATGGGAGAAACAAGTATTGTGCCTATCGAAATAAGGGGAGGTCCAATGTCAAAGTTGCCTGATTCCCACTGTAACTGTACTTAAGTGTCCAGGTTTTTCAGAGGATCTAGATCAAAGTCATTTGTTCACTTGCAATTAGAGTGGACCAGGTCCTGACTTTTGTTGTAGTCATGAAAATCCATAGGAGTTTGCTACAGATTTACATGGCAGCATGGACCAGAGTCTGAACCAAGTGATTGCTGAAAAAAACATCACTCTACTGAATCCCAGATATTGCTGTAGAAAGAGTTTTGCAAGTGAAATTTCTTAGCCTTGTTGAATCACAGAGATCAAAGATTGCAATGATTTGGCCCTGCATTTCCTGGTCTGTGCTGGGTTGTTTCCTGAGGTGCATTAACAGCTCAGATCCCAACCCTGCAGAGCACTCAAACATCTACTTTAACATGAAATGTGCCCATTTTCAGGGCTTCCCACACAATGTGTTGGCTGTATCAGTTCCCTTGGGAGGAATTATAATGGAATGATAGGAACTGGAATTAAGGGATCCATTTCCTTAGACTGTTTATAGTTGGATTATTCTGTCTTGCTTTAGTGGAGAGAGGACTGTAATCTGGTCTGTGCACTGAAAAGGTGTTTGCAAGAGGCAGCAGCAGCTTTAGTCCTGGCACCAGCCCATTTCCCACTTCTGCAGCAGTTCAGCCCTTTCACACAAAGATGTGGAGCCATAAATGTAACAGGTGGAGACACCTAAAACACAGCCTGCCCTGGGATGGGGAGTGAGAGTCTCCCAAAGAGAGTCAGGCAAAGGCCTGGTGTATGATCCACGTTTTGACACAGCCACCTCCTGGCTGTGACAGCCCCTGGGGTTGTTGGCTGCTTCCCTGGAGCAGTGCACGCTGCTGACTCTGCTACTCTGGGGACATCTGATAGTGACCTGGGGCCCTGCAGCCTCGGATCATAAACATGGCTCTTAGAAACATACAGGAGGTCACCCAAGGCCAAGTGCTGTCCTCAAAATGCTCCAGCCCTGACAACATGTTTTGCTCCTCAATCTTTACCTTCTGTGGTAACAAGTTCTGTTGTCCCAGAACCCTTTCATTCACTTTAAACATTCATCTCATTTCTCACCAGTTCCTTATGTGTGTTTGTTCTTCTGGTTAACCCCCTGCTTTACATTTTTACTCATTCTCTTGGTGTCAGAAATCTGGGTTTTTATCATGTCATCACCATATTCACAAAAAAGAGGAATTTCAGAGATGGGGCTCCCACAGCAGCCACTCTTCAGAGATGAGTTCTCTGCCATCCCACAACAGCAGAATGCTTCCACAAACATGGGACAAAGTCTGACAGATCAGTATGAGCTTGGGTTGCTCACAATAGAGGTCCTTCCCAAGGCAGGATGGGCAGGGAATGCTCCCTTCTTATTCCAGGTCTCAAGGAAAGTGCCATGTGTATTCAAGATCTGTTCTCATCAGTGGCCAGAAAAGTAGTGGAAAAGCCTGGGATAGCCCATCTTCTTCCTTTTTCCAGTTCAGTGAGGCTGAAGCAAAACTGGTTCCCATTTGGCTGGTTTTCAGTGTCCCATTCACAATGATGTGGAGCAGGGAAGAAGAGTGCACCAGCCCAACTTCCAGTGAACTTTACAGACCTCTCAGCTGCAGGGATCAAAGCAGTATGTGCCAGCTTGGAGGCTGAGCTCTCCTCTTGATCTTCATGGAAGCAGCTTCAAGACATGGATGTGATGCTTGGACTGATGGGGAGAATGGAAAAGCCTGCAGGAGACTGTGCCTGCTTTGGAGGTGACATGGGTGGCAGAGCTCCCTGGGTATCTTTTTTGCCCGTTTTTGCCCTTTGCATCTAATTAAAGAGAGAGAGTAGTAACAAAGAAAGCAATGTATGCTGCAAAACTTGTGGGATTCACAGAAGCATTATGAGACTGAAGGTTCCTTCTGTCTCCTTTTCCAGTGGAGTGTCTGGTTGTAGGATGGGAGCAGGGCACATTTTCATTATTCTATCCACTCAGCCTCAGCAGCCAGTGTCTCCTCACTGGTCACTGAGCACCCTAACTCTGCTTCTCCTCCATCCTGTCCCATTCAGAGCAGTTCTCCCTGGTGAAAGTCCCTGTCTGCTCTCAGTGGCACATGGCACATGGAGATGTGTTGTTGTGCCACTGGGTAAACCTCAGTGAGGCCATTAAAAGAAGTCCTGACCCACTTCTACTTCTAAGTTTGACTAAATTTTGATTTGGCTTAGGCAGGCAGCAAAGAACAGCTTCCCCATCCAAGAGGGTCTAAGCTAGGCTGCTCCTGGGTAGATCACTTCCCAAGTGGAGGGATAAAATAGTAAACCAAAATGTTTCTGTACTATTTCGCTATGTGGTCTAGAGAACATTTAATTCCCTGCACAGTGCAGTTTTCACACTACTGTTCTACGTAGAAGAAAAACATTTCAGCATTATCCTGGGCCTCTCTGCAACGTGACTATCAACATTGTCAGTACAGCTGGGGAAAAAGTCAATTTCCAGCTCTTCCTGAAAACCTGCAGTGGTGTCTTCCAGCCTGCCCATGTGAATGGTGATAAAGGGGTAGAAACATGGGGTCAGTGGGCAGAGATGGTGTGCACAGGCTTCTGTCTCGAGCAGCAGCTGCATCCTGTGGGTTGAGAGCTGCTGACTTTAGTTTGGCACTGGAGAGAGCCCCGGTGACCTGCTCATGACTTGTGGTATTGCTGTAGCCAAATCATTTCCCCTCTGTCTGTTACCCAACTGAAAGAGCTGTCGAAGAATTCAGTTCTTTTGGGCTTTAAGAATCCAAAGGGATTAGTAAGTGAAATTAGTAAGTATTAGATGTTTAGGAACACATTGGTTTCAGTCTTTGGGGTTTAGTCTTTGGTCCAGCAGACTCTTATAGACAGGCTGAGACAAGAAGCGTAGAGCATTATTTCTATGTATATTCCCACAACGAAGTATCAACCCAGTAATTCTGATTAGTACCACCTAAACAGCAAATAGTTTCACTCCTACTGTTTTTTGGAATCAAAAAAGCCCTCTCAATTAAACAGAGAAACCTCCAGCCCTGATGGTAAGAAACTATGGAGAGCAGGAAACTTGGTCATGTTGAGTTTCCTCTTCTGTACCTCTTGCTTTGGACTGGTCATAAAAATACTGTCATTTACTCATTTACTGTCAGTATTTAGGCAGCAAATGGATTGTGTTGTGTAACACAACCAGTCCCACAAAGATTGTGCCATAATTTACAAGGATAAGAACCACCAAGTGTTTATGGTCTATAGTTATAAGGCAATAAATTGCCTTCAGGTCCATCAGCAGAGCTAATGCTCCTCCACATTTACTCCAGAAGAGTAACACTCTTCAGTAGACAGAAGAGAGACTTTTCCCTACTCTGGTTTTCCAGCAAACAACCCACTAGCTGAGGGTTCATTCAATGCCTGGTGAAGCTTTTTGTGAACTTCAGTGGATCTCAGATTGAGTGATTGCCTTGACCACTCTCAGTTTCAAGTCTGTAAGTGCTACTGTTTCCCGTTTCTGCATCCCAGACAGGTCTCTCTGTGCTTACCAGAGGACTTCAACACCCATTTGGAGCCTTCTAGAGGAAGCAGTAGATGCAGGAGCTATGGATGGAACCAGCAACTCAAGAAATCAGTTATTTTGTTTATCCCTGAGCAAACAAACAAACAAACAAATCTCTTTCTAGTGTCAACCTCCCAAACATCAGAAGCTGTGAATTTAGTCTCAACTCCCTGTAAAATAATTAAAATAGACTTTATAACGGCTTTGTAAACAAGAGTCTTCTGATTTCTAACCCCACAGCTGCTATTATTAGAGTGTGATGTGTGACTCTTCTGTCTATTAATCCCTGGAAGATGCATGGCTTTGCAGTGAGTGATGTTTGTGTGAATCAAACTATCACTGATTTCCTCATTCCATGTCTTCACATTTAGGCTGCAAATGGCTGTGTTAAATAGGTGAAATAAGTGTGGACATTAGGTATGAGAAGCCACCTGAGACAAACTGTGAAACAAAAGGCTCAGTGTTCTCAGATGATGAAGAGAACGATTGTGCATCCATGAACAAAAGACCCAAAAAGAAGGATCAACCCCTTGAGGTACTTCCATATTGTCAAGGCTCCTCCTTCTGACATTCCTTGATTCTTCAACTGGAATCTTCAACTGAACAAACACCTCTCTTTGGTCTAAACTCACTAAATACACTTTATTTCATGACAACAAAAGAACTAAGGGAAATGCAGGTCTCACTCTATGATTCGCCAAAATTTTAGCAACGTTTTGTTATGGAGGAAATAAAACCCCTGTGGGAAATGCTGTAGGCAGACTCCTTGCAGATCTGGGCAGGGTGGATGGAGCCACAGCCAGCAGCTGAGATCTCTACCTGTGGGAAGCTGAGTTTGTTCCCTCCTTCCATTGTCTCAGTGTGAGGAGGCAGAATGGTGTGGTTTGGTCAGCAGGCACAATCCTTTCTGCGGGGTTGTCCTACCTGTGGGGGCTTTCACCGAAATCTGGGCTGCTCTGTTCTAGCCATGGGAAGGTGCAGCCTCTCCAGCTATTCCCAGAGCTGTCCAGTAGCCTCCCAAAGGAGGCAGAGCTGTTCATGCCCCATTTGAGAGTTTTGGCTGTGCAGTTAATGACAGCTTTAAGAGCCACGTGGTTTCCCAAAGATCAGCCTTCTCCCAAGCTGCGGGAGGTGCTGCTCTAGCTGGCTGTGTCCCTGGGCTCCTAGTTTACAGAGAGCTACTTGGAGCCAGCAGCTATGGAGTCAGGTGTTGTGTGGGATCCATCACTGCCATGCACAGCAGCTTTGCTCCTCACCTCTGCCCCAGCTGTGCTTTCTGGGCACAGCCATCCCATCCAGATCTGTTGTGCTGTTGGGGATTCACCATGGAGACCTGGGGTAAGATTCCAGG